TAACGGCAAGCAATATGAGGGCAGTATGGAAACATATCATACCAAATTGTGCAAATGATTTCATTGGTTTTGAAACTCATTTTGCTGAAGTCACTAATAACAGTGGAAATTGGACAGCAACTTGGCTTCAATGAGTTAGATTTCGTCAACGTAATTGAGTGCATCAAATCTAACACTAATGAACTAGATAATGAAACACTTATTAACACAGATGAACAACGGGCTTATGAAGAGCGGGAGGACAACTTAGACAACGACGACTGTGTTGAAGTGCCTGCACGAGAATTAACAGCTGAACAACTATAAAAAATTATTGGAATGGTTGCAACCTTGTCAGAGCATATTATGGAAGTTGATCCCAATATTGAACGTAGCCTTACAATTCGCCAAACGATAAACAATACAATTCGCTGCTACAAAGAAATGTATGAAAAGAAAAGGCCAAAGAAGAAAAATGTGCCGACATCAATATTGCAATTTTTAGAGAATAAAAAATTAATTTTTTAAAATAATTTGTAATAAAAACATTAGAATTTATTAATCGCGTTTTATTTGCTGAAAAACGGAGATTTTTTTTTAACCAATTATAATTTTTTGTATGTATTTAGTTCCTCGATTAGTCCGGTTTCAAACAGCCCGGGATATTGGCGGAACCGATTACACGGACTATGCGAGGTATTGCTGTGCAAACCTAAGTAAGGTCTCAGTTACCTGTACAAGGGGTTGATTTCACGGCGTCGGCTCCCAAAATGGCGCTGACACTAAATTTGAGGATCGGCTTTGCTTGTGAAGGTGTTGAGTCCTGCTTGAGGCTCGCTCGCAGTGACGTATTGTCATTCCTCCTGTCGTAACAGCAGCAGCCGTTACTCGCGCAGTGGCCGGGCTGGCCGTGGTAGTACGCTAAGGAGTGTCCCAGGTCCCGTTTCGCCGCACAACACTCATCCGAACCGCCGCAAGAACACGTGACGATGGCTGGCTGATGACGCCTTGCCGTCGGAAGCATAGCCGGAAGGCCGTGGGAGTCTTGGGCAACTATCGAATAAGACGCTGTGATTCCGAGCGTCAAGGACGCCGTGGCCGTAGGTCCCAGAGCTTCCTGATGGTGAGGACTTAGCAATCTTGACGTCACTATTCCAGGAGCTGATTCTAATTGGTTCTGCTGATGCTGTTTAGTAGCTAATATTTCGTTGATTGTCCCTGGCGATGCGTTGCCGTTGTAATAAGAAGATCCTGCAGGATTCTTAGGTGGAACAGGACATGTAAGAAGACCCCTCGAATCCCTGTCTACCAGTTTCCGTGGTCCGATGTTCTCACTACCAGGAGAGCTTTGTTGTGAATGTTCAAATTTTGTATTCAGAAGGTTGTCCATCAGAAATGGTGATGTCATAATTGTTGGCGATGTATTAAACACAGGCGCATTGAAACTTTTCAGCATGCTTTGATAATAAAATGGAGTTGCTATAGAGTATGCCGATGAAGTATCCAGTGGGAACGGGTGCATTATATTACTTAAAAGTACCGAATAAAAGTACTTCTTGTCCACTTATTAGATGGGTTCATGGTTAGGGCTAAAATTGTCACTATCTACAGTGGCAATATCTTACCTTACGCTTGGAATAACGACTTTTATAATTCGGTATTTAGGTTTCACTGCCGTAATGTTTATCTTACACCATGTTCTTCATATTCCCTATGAATTTTGTATGTAAGTGTGAAGAGATCGAAAACATTTTTCACCCATTGTACCTTATTTGTTTCAAACTTAGTGAAATTCGTTCATGTGGTCTTGCTGTCACAGTTTTCTCTACATACATATGACCTACTGTACATTGCGATCTCATTTGTACTGGATACACCGCATCTTCTTACACTTGCGTTAAGACATGAACATGTTCGAGTAAAGTACAGCTGATATTTGCTCTACATCAACCGGTCACTTAGCATTTGCGATGTTGTTTTATTATCTGATTAGTTCAGGGTAGTTCGCAACGGAAAACGTTTTATTGTTGACGTTTATGATTGTTACCGTGGCAACAACTTGTTCACACTAAACACATCACACAGAAGCGAATGAAACCATATTATGCCGAATCACGTTAGTTAGGAATACCGCGGTTCGTAAGCGCCTGTTCCCACGAGCATATCCCATGCACGAAGCACGTGTCTGGCTGCTGGTCCTCGCACTGCATGTCAACAACGTCACACTGTCTTGCCGAGTGTGTGGCCTCCGAGAGCGTCGAAGACTAAAACCGAAAAATGACTAGCAGACCACTGCACGTCCCCTTCTACCACTACCATTACCCCAGATACGGTAATAATCATAATAATAACAATAAAAATCATATCCACCCCCTTTTTTTAGGGAGCGTGCTTTCATAAAACAGGCCAATAGTAACTTAGTAGACCCTTAACCTAACTTCATCTCCCCTCTCTCCCTCCACTTCTGGCCCGAGCGCAATGAACCACCGTCATTTCAACCCCCTACTCACCACCATCACAACTTTATTACAGCGTTTTACTCGATCCTTATAAGCATTGTATTCTCCCATGCGGAGCAAATGGGAACATGCTTTGAGCATAAGGATCATTTTCGTAAATCATTCTCTCTTTCCTTTTCATCCCATCATCGCTCTTTGTCTCCATTATATATAAACCGAAAATCAACCCCCGTGAAAATATCTTATATTGAAAAGCTTATGCAACCCCCACGTTTCCTTGTGCATTGATCGTAGTCTGTAAAGACGGTAAAGTGTTGGGGAGGGGGTAGGTCGGCAAAGGGAGGCAAAAGAGGGAGGAGCTACGTCAATATGTGTGACCAATAGGGATCTTAGCGCGTTGGTTCTGATTGGATGCGATGGTTTTATAGGGTTATCCTGCATCCTCCTTCTTCAGCCAAAACGACTCACTCTCTCACACACTCACAATATCACTCATCAAGTAGCCGTGGTTTCTCATTGTGCGGCCGTGGAGCCAGGGATTGAACCCGGTTTGTATGTACGTAACAGAATGGCCAGTAAATAGGTAGATTACATCGAGGGAGACAGACGTTGACCAGCAAATGCCGGCTTCCGATTAACTGAAGGATCTCGCTCCGGAATGTTCCGTGCCGCAATTGAAAGGCCTCCACGTCATTCACCTCATATTTTTATGTCCAGTTTCCGCAAGATCTATCTCCCTCAGTCTTCCGAATCGTCTTTTTTTTTTCAAGAATTTTTCTTACCAAAATACTGTATGTATTTCATGTTTCTTCTCGCCGAGCTGCCACACAACGACCTTGATTTCACAACTAGGGCTCTGGCAATAGACCTACTGGTGACCCACATGAATCACGAACTTCCTCCTTCTTCTCTTCTTATTTTTCTCTCGTCAATCTTATTCTTTTACTTGTTTCATGTCACTACAAACCACTGCGGTCCATGAATTCCCGTTTGCCGACCTTCGGAATTTTAGAGGTATAACTTATAGGAATTTGGTGTGATGGGATAGCTAAATCGGTATAACGACGGCCTACTAGCTCGACGACAGGAGTTCGATTCCCGACAGGGGTAAGAAATGTTCTCTTCTCAACAATGTCCATACCAGATCTGGGCCCCACCCAGCCTCCTATCTTTCGGTTTACTATATATCTTAGACATTCGGTAGGACTCCTTGGACGGGTGATCAGCTCGTCGCAAGGCCTCTATCTATACACAAACACAGAAAAACGCACACACAGAAACTAAACAACCATGCCCTGAGTGGGATTCGAACCCACGATCCCGGTTTCCAAGCGAGCGAAGACAGTGCATGCCACATCAGTTGCTACACGCAAGTACCAACTTTATTGTATACTTATTTATCAGACCACTCCCTTTATCATTTTTGTTCCTAAAAATTACTTTTCCACAGTATCCGTGAATTATTCAGCTGTCTCCTTATAGGCCCATGCCTAAACAACAAGGAGTTCTGTAAATAACTAATCACCTAATTTCCTTATACTGACCACATAGATTGTATGTATATTCGTTGCCGCGGTAACTTTTGCCAAGTCGTTTCCAAGCAACGGCTGGATACACATAGAGAAACACAGACTGATGGGAAGTGAAGTACACCGCTAAGATGGGTTCAGATGACATGATATACATATGAAGTTCCATAAAGATTGGTTCAGCCATTCATAAGTTAATGGCGAAGACAGAGATACAGACAACACGGAGATCTCATAAGCCTACTTTAATTTTCTGTAAATAAGAAAATTAGGCAAAAAAAAGTTGACATTTTGTTGTAAGCTTGTGTCCCCTTATTGCAGGAAGAAAGCTTTTCTTGACTCATTCAGTAAATGCGACTCTTTCTGCAATAAGTCCCAGTATTTAGTTACTGTTTCTCCTTTGATTCATTACGAAGATAATTTTATCCCAAGTGACAGACGCTATGTTAGTATGAATACCTTATGAACCTTGTGTCCGTCTATTTTAGCGGTGCCACGTAATACATGCATTGCCTCGCCCAACACAGACCACAGGGTCTGCACATTAATAATTCAAACGGCGGAGCCCACAGCTTGGCGAATAGGAGCAATATTCAAATTATTTGAAGGGAATCGAATTCCAAGCATCAACACTGCATATCAAATCAAGCCCCCTCTATACGCATCCACCCTTCCGCTTTTACACGATTTCTCCGAATGGCGGAATTCAGAGACGATCGGCCTCTGTGTTCTCTGTGTGAGGATTTCTGTTCCATATAATCACTACGGGAAAAACCAAACGAGCAATTACAGACCTGGGGATCCAGATTTCGTAAACGATGGCAAAATTTGAGCCTCGATGAATTAATGCACATCTTAGAATCCTGGTGTCATTTAGAGGAGTGGCTCTCAGCGTTTATGAGACCGCGGCCCAGTAAATTCTTTCTTTACAAGACGAGGGCCCAGTCCCAACACATTTACTCGTAAATACCTTTCCAGTTTTATTAAAGTTCATGCATTAAGCTAACTATAATATATTTATTCATGAAAAATGCTTAGAAAATGAAAATGACAAATTCCAGAAGAGTGTCTCGCGGCCCCGTATAATTGATGTCAGCGCCCACTACTGGGCCGCGGCCCGGCAGTTGAGAAGCACTGATTTAGAGAATGCTCTAAACTCGTATATAATAATAAACATTGTAGGTTAGTAATAAATATACCTGAACCAATCTTTATGAAACTTGGTATGTATATTATGACAAGCGAACTGATCTCAACGGCGTACTTCATAAATCCCTCCCATCAGTCTTTGTGTCTTTATGTATATCACTCATGTCGTTGCAAGGTAAATGCTCGGTTAAGTGATCCCTCCATTCGGTGCTAGGCAACGGCTCGGTAAACATGTTCCCGCGGTAACTAATACACGCTACAATAGAACAGTTACTGGACGCGTCGTTTTCTACGCGGTCTGTGGGTCTGTCTGTGTATTCCCCTATCGTTTCTAGGCAACAACTCAGTAAAAACGTTCCCGCGGCAACGAATAATTATTGGCGGAATGGTTTTCTATGCGATCCGTTTCGTTTCAGAGGAAAGTATCCGATTAATTCTTCCCGGAACTTATTTTTCTTTTCAGAAATAATTGTATTGCTAGTTTCCATGCACTCAGCAGTTTTAAACCTTTGGCCCAACAGACTTTTTCCTCCACACTAGAGCTTTTTTTTATAAGTTGGTTATGTGACGACGCTAACTGAAAGAACTGCTGTGATTCTGAAGTTTTGTAACAGACGTTTTCGACGGTGTGTCTACCCCCATCTTCACATAATTGATTCTCATTATAGTGGCTCTACTGACACGTTTTTAATTAATTTCTGTTTGAATATTAGCGTTAAAGGTTTGTATCGAACCCGGATCCTTGAACTAATATGCTATTGAGCACAGTAACTCGGGTAAAGAAACTGCTATGTTAACACAGCGAAAAGTGATAAACCTCTTCAATTTTTATTCCTTTCTTTTCTTAACACTTGGGGAAAGAGAGATATGCATAGAGTTGTGGTTCCTTCAGAGTGTAAAAAACTTTGTAAGATTTGAGGCTTTCACGGCGGTGACTATGAAGAAAGCAGTTTCTGGGATTTGGCACCGTGTATATGTGGTGTTAACCGACGTTTCGGAGGAACTTATCGCCTGCATCTTCAGGGTAGAAGGAAAAATATAAGAAATCCGAGACTACTTTCTTCATTTGTAAAAAACTTATTTATAGACGTCTTAAATAAACAATATACAAGTGATTTCAAGAAAACAGATTATGTAGTCGTTCTAGAATTCTACAGTGGGGTGATTATTCATTTTGAACCGAGAATAAAAGTGCCACAATTAAAACAGAATTGAAAATATGAACATTTTTGGACGAAAAAAGATTTTTGAAGGAAAAAAAACGAAATGTTTAGCTTTAACCGAATTTTGGATAGTACTGATTTGGCAACAAGTAAAAC